CCCCAAAACCCCAAAACCCCAAAACCCCAAAACCCCATAGTACACGTTAGATATTGATATTAATTATTAATGGAAGTTGATCCCACCAAAGCAAGAGGATATGTTATCTCAGAAAATAACTTTCAATTTACAGAAGCCCTTTGCAAATTGTATCATTTATGCATAGGCTTCAACCAGGATCCTCTTGATGAAGATGATTTCAAGTTTACATACGAATATGATGATGATTTTACAACTTTTCCAACAATTTGTCTTCTTGCAATGGGGTGCATTCACATGAAAATATTTGAAACCCCTGGACTTCCTGCACTCAAGCCTCAACAACTTCTTCATGGAGAGCAGATCGTCGAAGTATTTAATCCCATTGTTCCAGGCTCTACAATCAAATGTGTTGCCACTATAGAAGATGTAGCTGATATAACCATATTGGAAGTATTCGATTCATTTCAACCTTCTTCTCTTCAAATGGGACCTAAGGTCAAAGGGATGTTATTCATTGTCAAAATTGACATTCTTGACCCTGAAAACCCAGAAATGCAATACTCAAGATGATACATGAACTGATATGTTAAAGGATATGGAGGATTCGGAGATAAGGGTGTTCTAGGTCTTAGGATGCCTTCTCCTCCAATAAGGACTCCAGATCAGACTCTAGAAATTTCTACCAATGAGAAATTAGCTTCACTATACAGAATCTGAGGAGATCTTAACCCCTTACATATGATTCCAAGCGCAGCTAAATCAGTTGGATTTGATAAGCCAATCCTTCATGGCCTTTGTACATATGGGATACTTTCAAGGGCCGTATACAAGACCTATTGTCAAGAGGACCCAACTCTTATCAAGAGTGTCAGTGCTAGATTTTGATCCCATGTATTTCCAGGGGAGACTATCAAGATTGATCTTTACAAAGAAGCGAATAGTGTATTCTTCTCAGCCTCAACAAAAGAGAGAGGCCTAGTTGTTTGTACTGGTGTAGTAGATCTTACCCCTCTTGCTAAGATTTAGAGTTATTAGAAATCCTCAATATATTCTGGGTAAAATGGGGTATTGGGGTTTTGGGGTTTTGGGG